TAAAGTATGCAGTACATAAGATACGATACCACAAAGAAAGTGAAGCCATACCAACATGGGATCAGGCTCTGTTTTCTTCAGATTTGGATTTGCCGCGGCCAATGCATCAATTGTTGCTGCTGCTCCCTACAGAGAAGCAAAATGAAAAAGCGCTAAAAAATCCAAAACATTTTATGAACAATAGTATACCATTTGTGCAACTTTTTCTAAATTAATATAAAATGCAATAGTTAAAAAAAAGACTGTTTCAATTATTTAAGTTCATCTATGATAGAAATTTCAATTGATAATGATTAAACCACAAACTAAAATGGTTGGTTGAATAAGAAAGAAGTTAACAAACCTGTAACTGTTCCTTGAAGTCTGGTACAGCGCGGCAAAGTGAGACACCCAAGAATCGCATATTCTCATTTTTGCCAATTTCACGAACTATTTCATCGGTGTATAAGTTGTAAACCTAAAATTGTTAAATGAGTTCCAAGTGAATTCTCTACGTCTATTTCGTTTATATTCGAAAAGAGCATAATTCTTTTTTAGTGATAAAAAAGAAGAATCAAATGAAGAGATCACAGATAAGATATGAAAGGGCTTACTTTGATTCCAATTGGTGTAGGATAAATAAGAAAATTACTGGTTTCGTCAAAACAAATCGATAAATGCTGGAAAGTATTTTCATCACGATCCAATTCTTTTTCCAGTGCAACTCGTCGATTCCATTCCATATTTTGTAAGCCATAATTCCTGGAAAAAAAAAATTGAACTACTGATTGTATGGAAGTGATCCAGAATTTATCACTTTTTGCAATTCAACATTATCAGAGTTATTCATCACTTAGTGCAATATATCTCGCAGTTGTTGAATATCTATATGACATATTTACTGTTTTGAAACATTCCCATCCTACTTGGCTGTGCGTGATCACTCTCTCTTCATGAAGGTATAGAAGAGTAAAGGATTGTGATAATTGTGAAAAAAAGTTAATATATAATTAAATCAAACTTGGATCAACTTGCAACACTCACATCATAAATTTATACAGTGGTTCTCTACCCGTTCCTTTTTTCTTTTCTTCCTCTCAAAACTTACTTGTTAGCTGTAGCTTGATCTACATAAAACCGTAATGTTTCATCGATGACTTTTACCAACTTTCCAGTAGCGAAATCAAATATTCGAATACGTCGATCTGCTCCAACCGCAGCAAATGATTTTCCATTTGGTGCTATTAGCAAACAACGCGGCGGTGCTTTTACCTAAAAAATACAACTCCAAAATTGGTAATAACAAAACACAAATTCTGAAAAATAGAAAAAAATATATAAGACTATTTTCATGTTAGTTAACATTCTCAATAGTTCCTCGGCATAAGATAGATTAATGGAATGGAACGATTCACAACAACAAACTAAGCCAAGTAAAAATAAGCTGAGGTGTTCATCAAAGCAATACATTTAAGAAATCAGCAAATGTAAAGACAGTGTAGAAAGGGATATATCTGCACTGATCCACTCGGCACTTTTTAAAAAAAATGAAACAAAACGTAAAATTAAAAAGCTGATTATATTAAATGAAAAATGAAAGTTTTCACTGACTTTAACAAATTCATAAAGATCAGTGTCTGTTTTATACGTCCATTTCACGTTATCCGGAAACTGGTATTCGCGCTTTGGACCAGACCAATACTCCAACATTCCCTTTGCATCAACGGAAATAGCACAATCAAAATGTGGGTTGTACTGAAAATATTGAAGCAAATGGATAAAATTGAAATCTTGTACGATTACAATATATATAAAGCATCTAAAATTTCAAAAATTATAAAGCCTCTAAAGTATAAAGTACGACTAGTAAAATTACTAAATTTTTTTTTTAAAAATTTTCTCGAATTCTGACAAGCGATTAAATCAGAAACAATGGTGGAAAAACATACCTCGATAAATTTCACAGGATTTGAGTGGATTTTATCTAAAACATGAATTGGTTTATCGTCGCCTTTGCCATCATAAATAAAAATTTTTGCTGATTCTGAGTCTGATATAGCTATCGCCTGGATAACATCATTTCCTATAATTATCAATGACATTCGAATCCACATCTTGAAATTGTAAGTTAATAACTAAAACTTCTTAATTGGTTGTTCATAAGTTCATCCAATATTTGGCTCTTCATCATAGCACAACAATGATTAAACCAATGAAATCAATGAAGCAAAGAAAAAAACGCCCTTAACAATAAAGCAATTTCAAAACTTTCAATTACTACTAACCCTGATGTATCCATGCAGCAGTTCTAGGAGCAAATTCAGTACTGAGCATATTAATCATATCAAAATTGGATACATCAAATATTTTTACTGATTTATCTTGCATACAAACCGTTGCCATTAATGTTCCATTGTGATTGATCGTCAAGTGGGAAAAAGTATCTGCAATAAAATACAAATTTAACACTTTGTTTGGAGCCTGACAAAAATTATTTCCAGAACGATGACCATTACTATTCAGGTGCAACACCACTCATTTAATTTAGGATTTTCGGCACTACATAATATCAAAATTCAAAACTATCGCTACGACGTCTCACGATATGCCTGAATAATCATAAAAGATTTGATGTTCGTCCGTTTTGGACCCTCAAAATACTCCCATAATTTCAAACACACTTTTAGATATTGAGATTGACTGCATTGGGTATCAACTGCAATAAATGAAAAGTTCGCTATATTTCAATGAATTCGTTATTGTTTAATAAAACTCAAACTGACGGAGATGGCAGCGGAAATGTTTGACAAATTCAATCCCTTCACCGTGCTTTTTCTTCCAGAATTTCAAATGTCCATCCGTACTTGCCGTTATGATGAAATCTGTTCTGAAATAGGCAAATCAATTTCAATCAAATTCAAACTTAGTTCCGCTGTAATTAGCAGATGAAAGCATAAACAGTGCAATATTTAAGATGAAACAGTTGAAAAATTGGCATCATTAACTCAATAAAATATATAAACTTATGCTACTTCATGACTTGCATTTAATAACAACTAAAGAGGGTATTATGAAAGTAGTTGGAACTGTGAAAAAGTAAAATTCATTGAAAAAAAATTACGCAGAAAATTAACATACGCAGTTGCGATAACATGAGTTATAGTATCTCGGTGCATGAATGATTTCTCATATTGAGTAGCACGTGGTATTGAACGTAGATATGTTTCTTCGTAAGGAAGTACTGTAATTTGTATAGCATATTTAATTATTTGTTATGGAAAAAACTTGTTTTAACATTAAATTTGAAAAAAATTGCCAGCATAAATGAAATGGTGTGCAATAAAAGGAAATATAACAACAACTAACAACTAATAATTAATAACAAATA